TAAAAAATATATTTGGGGAGAAAAGATGCTATTGTTAATTAACTGGTTTCTTTTTTCCTGGATTTTTTCCTAGTTTTTTGGAGTTTGGGAGGGGTGGTGGTTAATACTGACCTCCATAAGGCTATTTGCCCTTTGGATTTTCACTGAGTAAAAAATTTTATTTATAGAGTTTTGCTCCTCCAACTTTATGTTGTATTGCTTTATGTTTGTCAGACTATGAAGAGAAGCACCTCCTATTCTCCCCACTTCCCACTGACCTGCCGCAAACTTACTGCCGCATAGTTCTGCAGTTCTGTAATACTTCTACAACTTTGATCATCCTTGGCTTTATCCATATCATCAGTAAACATTATACTTCACCTAGGCTTCTCAACACTATAGTTGCCATTTTCCTAATCTGTTATTCAATGTTAGGATTAAATAAAACCAAGGGCAAATTTCTGTCAGCTGTCTGTATTGCAATTCGCAACAGTGCTAGCCACACAACGCCTGTCTGTTTTACTGCAGTCAAGTGCTATTGGCAAGTCCCAGGCAGGCAAAGAAAAACTCACCAAAATTTCTTTCCTCCTGAATCTTTTGGGTCAAGCGAAAGTTCTGGAGCCCAGTGCGCAAAGTCCGTGATCTACTCTGCTTTCTAAACAGATCTCTTGGAAGCTTTTGGGATGTGGGGGGAGAGTGTACTACAGCAGAAACCATGCTCCAGCTTCTCACACCGAGAGAGATTCTCTTAGGAAATCTCCTGTAGCATCTATGGGAAAGTGTCCCAGGTGGCCAATATGTGTCTCTTACGCAACCTGTGTGGTCATTCTGGCCTTCCCTCCATTTCCAATAGCACAAGGGAGATGGGAATGTTAGGCTTTGGATAAACTGGATAAATATACACTGTATGCTCTGATGTTCTCACATGGCACACAGACACTGTACTACAGCATAAGGTACACTGCGGCCAAATGACATGCAGGAGGTATGTGAGAAAGTTGAAGGAGACCCTATTCTGTGCATATTGAAAAGCTGAGTTCATTCACTTTTCTGTAGAAATACTGGTTAAATCCTATTAAATACAGTTACTTGGTTTCCCCAAATTTTTGCAAGGTCCATCCTGAATGATGAAAATTATGAGATGCCAAAGGCTACGCTTGAACACTCTGTAATCAATAACTTTTAGCTCCTGTTAACAGAAAAGCTCTAATCATGTTCCTTCTTAAATTATTTACCTCTTTCATTCAATTATCATACAGTCTACTTGCCTGATCACAGGGTACTATAGAGTGGATGACTAAACAGTTTACAAAGTCTACTTTTTTTCCCTTAAAAGACACGTGGGAGAAGAAATGTGCCACTAACATCATTTGATGGAGACGAGTCCATTTTATAGAAGGAGAAACAGACTCCAGTTCTGCTGGTGAGCTCCAAGAGCTCAGGTGACCATGGAGGGCTGGGGTCTAGGTTTGCCACCTTGCTTGGCTTTGCTATTTTCGCAATCGCAGTGAAACCTGTTAATAGTGGGCTGATAGAAATTTGACCTCGCCACAATTGACTATAAAATACACTTCAGTTCCTGTGAAGGCAATCTTCCTGAACTGAGTTTTTAACTGGTTTTCTCAAATGACTGCGTTAGTGGTTGGGGCTGCATCACTGCAATCTGTGGGAGTTTTGCTGCTGGTAACAATGTCTCCGGGGAAACAGCAGTCAGTGGAGATCTATCTCTGCTTCCTGGTAAGGTTTTTTGGCTTTCTATCCAGTTTCCTTTCCTGTTCATAGAGATAACTATCAGAAGTGTTTGGTTAGTTTTAAATCACTATGGCACTGTCAAAAAAAGATTGTTCGACAAAGCCAACAGAAAAAAAAATAAAAATAGCTCCTGTAGAGTTCATCTCACTCAAACCCATCCCTAATAAGCCATTTGGTCACTGAAATGGCACCTGCAACATTCTCCCTTAGGATTTTAGTTAGCAGTGTTGAACATTTGGGCCACTATAATTAGCATATTCCTGCTTCTGTTTGTGCTTCTGAATTACACAGCACTCAGAACCTGCCAGTATTACCGAGTATACTGCAGGCTCTTTACTGTTTCTGATCACTCTACAAGGAGATTAAATATAATGAAGAACCACTGTTGACAATAAATTCCTATTTACATTGTCCATAGGTACTTCGGAAAGCTAGTTATGGTAATTTCTTCATCTGCTGTAACACAAAAATGTAACACAGTACAATAAATTAGTCCCAGACTCATAATGAGATTTTTTTTTTTTATATCTCATTTTGAACGTAGGCATGCAAGTGTTGGAAGGTACTTCAGAAATACACCGACAGATTAAAAATAGATTTTTTTTCTGTGGTATCATTAAAAATTTCTTCCAAAATGGAAGTATGGAAATAAATATTTGGAATCTATTAATTTTTGCAATCCCTTTTTCCTCCTTATAAGTCTTTAAAATGAAACAGGAACTACAAATGAATCCAAGTAGCACATTTAGATCGATCTTGGTCAAATAGCCTGAACCAGTGTTGATCCTACTGAACAATGCACTGAAAAAGCTGATTATACAATCAGTATATGGGGATGGATGGAAGGAAGAGACAGCTGTTTCTAGTGAATCGATTAAAGCTCTGCCTGAGAGAAAACATCCTTGGTTTTCATCATAGAGGAAAGCAAAGAGTAATTTCAGTACCTTCTGGCACAAACACTAGGTTCTCAACGGAAGGCCATTGTTCTTCATACTAGAAATACTTCATACTTGAAAAATTTTATCATTTGTGCAATTATGATCAATAATTGCCAGAGGATTAGCTTTGTTTCTTCTGGCTTAACAAAATAAATAAACAATCTCTTGTATACTATCTTCTATTCTGGCAATCTGCAATAATGTGACCAGATTAGGGAAGAAACAGCTTCAGCAACTAGAGAGACATCCAAAGACGCAAACTGCTGCAGTTAGACACCTTGTATGGGTACTCCATTTCCAGTTCTGTGCTACGGCATGTGTAATGGTTTTCTAAGGAGTGTTGTAATCTCAGACTTCTTCTAGATGTAAAAGACAAAAAGAAAAGGACCATACCTGGCCTTTTGAGAGCATCACTTAAATAAAAAAAGACTGAGGTAACTGTTTATATCACTACATCATAATAAAGTCATGTAAGACATTCCCACATCCTGTGCATTCTATCATCAACAGTCCAATGCTATACATGAAATAGCAGCCTGGGATCCGCACTACATGCTGTAGCGTGCATCCCTTGCAGTCTCCCAGGTCCCATAAGTTAAAGGTCAGATTCTCAGCCATGAACTGGCTAAAAGGTTTGGAGAGACAGAAAAAGGCACAGAGACACAGTCATAGTTTTTCACCATTATGGGGTCTTTTACTCTGATTCTTGTCCCAACATAGACTAGGGTGGTCTCATGCATGTCCTCAATTATCCCAGCTGCTTGTGGTCTCCATCAGTCACTTGATCATCACCTGGGCACAGAACCAGTCAACACCTGATCTGCCCCCCCAGCATAAAACTTTGACAATAGGCTACCAATCTGCTATTCCAATCGTCTGAAGCTAAAGATTAGTTCAGACCCTTTAAAGGCACAGCCAGATCACAGCTGAGAATTTGGCCTTTGATTTTTACTTGTCACCTGCACAGAAATGCTAACCATTTGCCTAGCCAGATGGATCTGTACAAACATTTTCAGATTTATTGCCAACATATCTTCCACCCGTTCTGGTGAAAAGAATGTTTCCGATCAAGATTTCTATCGGGTTTAAACTATTCAATTATTTAATAAAGTTGCCTGCTTGCATATTGCAATTTGAGCTGCTAAGAAAAGCACCTATCTATGCCATAGTTCAAGAGAAACAAACGGATCATAAACTTTTTTTCCCCAGGCTCCACCTAGAAACTTTCTTTTCTTATTTACGTCACAGCATTCCTTCACAAAAAGGTGTCTCTCATTCCCTCAAAGATGTGCCATAGCCACGCTCATCAAAGTGCAGGAAAACTGGTTTTGCTTAATTTTGAAGCCACTTTTAAAACTGTGTTGAAAATTTAACTTGACTCAAACATTATATAAGGGGGGAAATACATGTTCAAAGGAAATCAGAGAAGTGTGACTGAAAAATATGGAAAAAATAAGAATAAAAAAACCCCAAACCCCAAAGCATCCAAAGAAAGAACAAAGAATTCAAATAAAAAGTTGAACGTTGTGGGCCTGGTCCTCATCTACCACAACAGATGTAATTTAGGAATAAATCCACTCAAGCTGGTCAGCAAGGGCAAAGAAGAATCACACACTTAAGATCACCTTACCAAACAAAAAACTCCAATTTTGAGAATTAAATCAGATTTCGGATTTTACAAGGTTCACTCGTTCTTATTTTGGAGTGAGAATTTCCCAGGTTGCAACACAAAATAATGCTTAGTAAAAATATACGGAGCTCTACGACTCCTTTGCATAACTTTTCTGGAGTCTCCCAGGCTGGACTCTCTTTTCTTTTTCCACTGTTCATTTTCTTCCCCCCATTCTGCCAATTTTAATCTAGCAGGGAAAGTCCTTTTCTAGCAAGCACTGTCAAAATATTCAGGACATGGACCTTGCACTCTGAGAATGCAATGCTGTGTCCGGACAGCAGTGCTGGGTGCCTCAGGGATTTGTAATAATCAACATGCGTATTCCTAGCAGTCAAGATGTGTTCCACTGCACAGCTGTGCACCTCTGCCTTTGATTTGTTTGGGGTGCATGTTCCTCCCAAAGGCAAGTTCTGTGTAGCCAGAGTAGTCTGCCTGAAGAGAGTGACGGTTCACTGCTAGCTGAAGGGAGGAAGACAAATCTGTTACCCGTTACTCTGGTAGGAGTTAACTGATTATCCCCAATAACTCCAGCCTTTACAATGGGAAAGTAGCACACAGCTTTTATAAATAAGAATTATTGACCTTTTTAAATAGTTTCAAAAGAAGAAACTCTGCATCAAATGTGAGTATAATTTAGGAACTACTACATAGCAGCAAAACTACATTAGACTTTCTGATTTTTCCATGGTATCCTTGGATAGATACACCACCCAGTAGACCATGTTAAATGCTCCGAAGGTAACAGGAAATAAAATGCGTGCATATTTGTCTATCTTACTCGTGCCAGAGTGGGAGGCGGGGGGAGCAGGTGGTGTGACAGCAGATGGCTTTGCAGATGCTCCTAATGTATTAGGTGTGGTGGTCTGAATCTGCTCCAGTCTAGATCCAAGCAAGTGCTGAATGGAAGGGGATCCAGCTGTGGCATGCTGGGATACAAATCCAGTTAAAATTGGGGTAGAAGGAGGAGCTGGAGGGGTAGCTCTTGCAGAAGATAATGTCTCTGATGCATTGATGCGTGTGAAAGGGTTGGGACTTGATGCAGAAAGGGAGTGGGATGTAATGTCAGAAGACCCCTGAGCTACAGAGGGAGGCTGGATGGAGCTGTGCCTTGTGTCAATTCGGCTCCCACCATCAGCTTCGGATTGTACTGTGGCATTGGTTCTTTTCCTCACATTTGAATTGGCATCTGTACTCTGCAAAGTTAAAAAAAAATACTAAGTATTTATTTTAAGAACGACTAAACAGAAGCAATGGAAACTTTATAACCAAGCACTATCAGAATAATACTCACAAATATAACCAGTAGCTTGATCCTGAAGCACAAAGATACCGCATGCTCATGATAATAGATTTAATAGCATATAAAGTGATAAACAAGAGTTCCTTTTACCTGTGGCTGGAATACCAGGGTGAACACATCTGATGCATCACACTCCATGTGATGTGGTACCTATGTAAACTTAATACCACAAGGCTAAGGATTCTTGGGTTAGCGTTGGGGTTTTTTTCCAGGCTCATGCTCAAAACAAAATTCTCTGATGTTTACTTATTTCTCCGATGATATGAAAACATCCTAGACACAACTTACCTGCCATGATGGTTTACTTCTGTTTTATATCTCCAGAAAAGTAACTACCATATATTAGGAACTCTAGTCTGTCTTCTATAGTAGATGCTATTAAAATGCAAGTATTTACCAAACCAAGTTACCACATTGCTGCTCTTTCAGAAATAAAGGCAGTGCTTTTCCACATCAACCACAGGCAATAAATTCTCCAGATGCAATTGAACCAGTGAATAAATCAGTCTTTCATCAACTACTCCTTTCCATTAATTAACTAAGAAAAGTCGTGAATTCTCCATCACTTGAAGTCTTCAGGCAAGTCTGGTTGTCTTTCTGAAAGATATACTTAAGCCAAATAGTACTTATTAGGCTGGATGAGAAACTGAAATATAAATAAGGAAGTACAGATGGGAAATCCAGCAGAGTTTAATATTTTACTGACTTCTGGGAGTGGGACTCAGGCTCTGCCTTTCTTCTCTGCATTTAAAAGGAAGCCTAACATCTCCTGAACCTCCTTCTGGAAGGGCACCTGAAGAACAGACTTTTGAACTTTCAGCCCTGCACCTAAAATATAATATAAAACATATATTTTAGATATAATATGTGAATATATTTTGCGCAAAGGCTCACTGCTTTCCAAAAGACAAAGATTTATTGGCAGATAGGGTACATATACTCAACAGCAGCAATACAGGTCTAAATACAGGCAGGATATATAACAATCACTTGTTACATATCAAAAATCACGTTTTGCACCTCTCTGATGATACGGTTCCCAAGCATTGCCCTGCATGACACCTGCTGTGCCTTTGGCTCCCCTTCCTTTCCCCCCTACCAGAGAACACTGCCAAAGCTCACAGCACAAGAAAAAGGGAGAGAAAGTGGGCAGCATTCTCTCCTCCCTCCTTCATCCAACAGCAATTCTCTCCAGCTAAGTGCCAGAGCAGTAATGGAGAACAACTCAGGTGTCATTCAAGGTACTAGTACCTTGAGTAATGAGAAGAGTGAAAACCATGTCTGCTGCATTGGTTGGGCTTAGCTGTTTTGCTCAAAGAAACAGAGAAATGGGAGCTGAAAAAGAAATCTGAAAAAGCAATTACAAAAAAAAAAAAAAAATTCAAATCACTTGACATCTCCAGTACTTCCACCATGGCCAGAATGCTGGTCCCAAATCCTGTTAATTGCAGTACAAATCAGTCACTAGCAATACTGCTGACTTGAATTTATCTGAAGCTGTCACAGATATATGCCAGCTCATGGCTGATGTATTTGCCAGCTCATGGTTGATATATCAAAGAATCCCTCTTAGGTCTCACAGTTTTCCTTCCTGCACAGAAGCGTGTCAATCCCTTTTATTTATTTTTCTGCATCTGCAATCCAAAGCAGAGGACTGGAATAAACACCAGAGGAAACTGGTATTTCCTGAAAGAAACACCAATTGCACTGTTTGAAAGGGAAGTCTGAGTCACGCTTTGGGAAGTGCAGAAGTACACACAGGTGTGCAATTTGGATACTTTCACACTGGGTTGTCAATGACCCTGGAATAGTAAAGCAGCTTTCAAGACTGCTAAATTGAAATTATAAAATACAATCAGGACAGGAGTGCATTTACTAGAGACTTGGTAATACCTGACAGAGTATTGCATGTTACTTGAAGGCTTGCAAAGCTAAGCAGATGCAAGTCATCGATGTTCACTGTCCCAAAAAATAGCTCTGTGCTACGAAGAAGCTGGGACTAGAGTCATTGAGAGGAGGCGAGTTTTACCTTCTACATGCAGATCCTCAGACAACCTGGCTTTCCTCAAGTAAGATTCTCCCACAGCTCTCAAGCAGTGCCTGGGGAGCAAAAGCCCCATGGGCTGGGACAGGGGTTGCAAAATAGATCTGCACTGGAACTGAGACGTGTCACACTTCCCTCCTGCTCTCTGCCTACATTAGACCAGTAGCTTAGAGGTAGTGCTGTTGGAGAATAGAAATACCACATCTTCAGTCACTCCAAGCACAACCATAAAAGAAGGGTCCCAAGAGTAGTACAGAGAATTAAGTGCAATTCACAGAGGCACCACTTAACGCTCCTGCTCACTTGTACTGTCACCTGTTTTCAAGGGCCACCTCAGTATCCTTCCTTCTGTGCATCATCAACCACAGACACTGGTAAGACAGACAGGTAACATCCAGGCTCCTTCTCACATTCCAGCCATCTCTATTTCTTTTGTGGGAACTTGTTTCCATCGGTGTTTGCATAATACCTCCCCCCACTTCGGCTGTCATCTATGTAAGCAAATAAGACCTGTTGCTATTTAATCCACTACTCATATCCCATTACAGCGTTTATGATCTAATAATCAACCTGATCTAGTTGAAGATGTCCCTGCCCACGGCAGGGGGGGTGGACTAGATGACCTTTAGAGGTCCCTTCCAACCCAAACTATTCTATGATTCTGTGATTCCAGAATAAAATTATCTATACTATTTCAGATGGTCAATACGTGTAACTGTTTAAAAGTCTACTGGGCATTCTCTTTCTCGCCACTGATACACAAAACTTCCAATATTTCAGGAACCTTAAGTTTAGAGAGAAACCCAGTTTCCTCAAAAGTATTACAATGTACACATAAAGCCCAAACAGATAATATCGTAAGATATCACAATACAGCACTGCATAAGAAGCCCCAAAAATATGGATACATTTTTTGTTAATTCTCTGGAAACGACCTTCCAAGCGCTCAGAGCATGGAAATTAAAAATGCTATTTCTAAGATGCTCCACAGACAACGTATCACTGAAAACTGGTTGTCCTTGCATAATGTCATCGTAATAGTTTGGATTTGTGTTCTTGAATTGAACCTTGTCCTTGAAACATACTGAAACAAGCATATTCCACGGAGAGAGATGTTACATTACACACGGAAAGGCAGGGGCTTTGACCACTGCTGGAGCAGTCTGTTAACCATTAATACGCACTCTAACAGTGCTGGGAGCAACTTAAATATTGGAGATGATAGAAAATCTCCTGGGTCAGTGCTTAGCTCCAATACCTTATGCACCCCAGAAGCCCTAAGGGGAACACACTCCAACTCCTGTCCCCAGTAGGTTTTGCAGAATCAGCGTGCACCAGCAAAACAAGAGGCAGGCAGCCTGCCTCACTGCTCCCTTTTTTAACAGGACAGCTGTATCACTCACGCTGTGAGTGGCGAGCACCCAGCTCCGTGCCTTGTCAAAGCTGAGCAGAATGCACACTCATCGCCAGGGTGGCCTCACCAGCACATTGCCCACCACCTCCCCTCAAATATCCTTTTTTTGCACTTGCCTTACTCAAGACTATATCATGACAATAGCTCATTCTCCTCCTTCAAAGCACTCAGGTGTGTCTCCTTTTTGGTTTCTCCAGTTGAAAAGCTTCTAGCAAAAATTCTTGTTATTGGTTGTATACATATGATCCCTCTATATTCCTCTATTTAATGTTATAAAGATAATTCATTTCTTCCTACATTAGCCTATTCCTCCTCTGTACTGATGCCATCTCACAACTCTACATCACCTGAAGATTAATGCCAAGGTCACTAATAAAAATATTAAACAAGGCTGATTCCACAGCCAAGCCTTAACAAACCAAATTCTGTTGACATCAGCAGAAGTCAGGTTAATCATTATATTGCAAAACACAGTAAAATGTTTCATTCAGTTTGTACTAAGCAAAACATTCCAGCTATGGTGCATACCCCTAGTAAAAGGATATTGTGATAATGACAACCTGATCAACAAAATTATATACATACGTAAAGCACTTGCTGCCTGCCAAAATTATTTTACTTCATCTTTTTAAAAATAACAGCAAGAAACACAAACCTACTGCCTATTGGTAGCTTTTAGTTTGGAGGCATGAAAACAAGAAATAAAATATGAAAATCAAATGGAAACCAAATTAAATGCAACGCAAGAAATGAAAGTATTATCCAAGTAAAGGCTCCTTTCTGAGGGCAAGTCAGGAAACCACTCAATTATCCTGAGCCAACAGAGAGCTGCTGTGCTACTCCAGATGGGGCTCCACAGGAAACACTGAGTCCACATTTTTTATATTCTCACTCTACATTGAGAAAGGATCTGATTTTCTGGAGGCGTTTCAGTGAGATTTTGGGGAGACATTTAAAATGGTATAGCTCAGGAATGCAGAATGGGAGCCTGGAAGCTACCATACAAGGCAGTGTATTACAGCATGCAATGCCAGCCTTAATACATTTGATAAAGATTGCCCTTCTATAAACACAACAACTTGCTGCTTACGTAAACATCACCTCACCCTTCTTTTGAAATAGCCTATCATTCTGACTTGGTCCAACAAACTCCACACTTCACAACCACCACCAAACCAGAAGTTTTTAAGTACTTTGCTTTGCTGTATGCTCCTTCAAGAGGAAACCTTCTTGCTATTGATCCTGTCAGAAGAATTCAGCCTCTGAACCTTAACTGGCAGAAACACTGAATGGAAGTTCCAAAATCCTGGGCAATCTCAGAGCACAATTCCTGTCCATACATAGACAAAGTTCTCAAGAGCTCTGATAATAATCTAAGAATATATATTTTTGTTATAATTGTAGGACATCTTCATTGGATAAAGCTCTGTGGTTG